TGGGGCGCTGGCAGAGGGGTCGGGGGTGTGGAGCAATGCCACTGGGAGGGTGCAGGGGGGGTGACTGGGACACGCAGAGGGGGGAACTGGGGGGCACGGGGGGAACTGGGAAAGTACCCGGGCTGAACTGGGAGGGTACCTAGGCTCTAACTGGGGGGGCACAGGGGAACTGGGAGGGTCCCCAGGCTGAACTGGGGAAACTGGGGAAGTACCCAGGCTCTAACTGGGAGGGTCCCAGGCTGAACTGGGGGGCACTGGGAGGGTCCTCAGGCCCAAACTGGGGGCTCAGGGCCAGCCAGCATTGACCGGGCTATCCGTGCCGTGCCGTGCCAGGCCGTGCCGTGGCAGGCCGTGCCAGGCCGTGCCAGGCTGAGCCGTGCCAGGCCGTGCCGTGCCAGGCTGTGCCAGGCTGTGCCAGGCCGTGCCGTGGCAGGCCGTGGCAGGCCGTGCCAGGCCGTGCCGTGCCGTGGCAGGATGGCGCTGCGCTCGTGGCGCTCGCTGTTCTCGGGCCGGCTGCTGCTCCTCACCAACACCGTGAGCTGCGGGGGGCTGCTGGCGGCGGGGGACTGCCTGCAGCAGGAGTGGCAGCGCCGCAAGCACCCCGAGAGCCAGCTGCAGCTGGGCCGCACCGGTGAGCACGGCACGGGCTGGGCAGCTCCTGCTGCAGCTCCTCCTGCAGCTCCTGCAGCTGCTGCTGCTGCTGGCACGGGGCTCTGCCGGGGAGCCGGGCTGGGGGAAGCCATGCCTGCCATCATGGAGAGGAATTCCTTCCCAAAATGCCCTCATGGACCCATCCAGGGATCCAGGGCTGGGGGGAATCCATCCCTGCCCTCAGAGCAGGGAATTCCTTCCCCATGGACACTGCCAGGGAGCTGGGGATGTGGGAAATCCATCCCTGCTCTCAGAGGGAGGAATTGCTTCCCAAAATGCCCTCATGGGCACTGCTAGGGCTGTGGGGAATCCATCCCTCCTCTCACAGAGAGGAATTCCTTCCTTAAATGCCCTCATGGACCCATCCAGGGATTCAGGGCCAGGGGAATCCATCCCTGCCCTCATGGAGAGGAATTCCTTCCCTAAATGCCCTCATGGAACCTTCCAGGGCTGGGCGAATCCATCCCTGCCCTCAGAGCAGGGAATTCCTTCCCAAAATGCCCTCATGGAACCTTCCAGGGCTGTGGGGAATCCATCCCTGCTCTCACAGAGAGGAATTCCTTCCCTAAATGCCCTCATGAACCCATCCAGGGATCCAGGGCTGGGGGAATCCATCCCTGCCCTGACAGCTCCTTCCCCAAATGCTCTCCTGGCCCCTTCCAGGGCTGTGGAGAATCCATGCCTGCCCTCACAGGGAGCAGCCCCCTCCCCAGGTCCCTGCTGCCCCTCCCCGGGTGCCCCTCCCAGCTGCCCTGCTGCCCTCCCCGGTGCCCTGCTGCCCTCCCCAGGTCCCTGCTGCCCCTGCCCCTCTGCCCTCCCCGTCCCGTGATGCCCGGCGCGGTTGCAGGGCGCATGTTTGCGGTGGGCTGCAGCCTGGGCCCCCTGCTGCACTACTGGTACCTGTGGCTGGACGCGGCGTTCCCGGCGCGCGGCGTGCGCGGCCTCAGGACCGTGCTGAAGAAGGTGCTCATTGACCAGCTGGTGGCCTCGCCCAGCATGGGAGCCTGGTACTTCATGGGTACGTGGCCAGCCCCGCAATGCCAGCCCGGGGGGTGCCAGCTCCTGGGGGTGCCTGAGGGTTTGGGGTTGGTGCTCGCCGGGTTCTGTGCTGTTGGGGTGCAGCTGGGAACCTCCCGGGGGCGTTGGCAGGGGCTGCCCGTGTTTGTGTGAGAAAAAGGCATCGCTGCTGCTCTGGCAGGGCTGGGCTGGCACCATTCCCTGGGGAATGCAGTGCCCAGCTCCCTCTGGGGGAAGAGCCTTTCCTGGGATCCATCCCAAATCCCTGAACCTTTCCCTGGGATCCATCCCAATCCCAGAACCTTTCCCTGATCTCCACCCCAAACCCCTGAACCTTCCCAACCTTTCCCTGATCTCCATCCCAAACCCCTGAAGCTCCCCTGATCCATCCACCCCTGGCACAGCCCCAGCCGTTCCCCAGACAGGTCCCTGCCTTCCCTTTCTCTTTCCTTTCCATTTCCCGGACCTCCCTCCTCGGGATGCTGCCCTCCCCGCCCACACTGGGAGGGGTTTGGGGCATTTCCCAGCAATCCCCACCCCCATTAATTCTCACCCCAATTAATCCCCACCCCAATTAATCCCCACCCCAGTCCCCGCTGACCCCTGCTGTCCCCGCAGCCATGGGCACCCTGGAGGGCCAGTCTCTCCAGGAGAGCTGGGACGAGCTGAAGGAGAAGTTCTGGGAGCTGTACAAGGTGAGGCCGTGGTGGGCTGTGCCCGCTGCCCCGGGGGTCCCGGGCAGCCCCCAGCTGCTCCCTGTGCCCCCCAGGCCGACTGGAGCGTGTGGCCGGCGGCGCAGATCCTCAACTTCCTCTTCGTGCCGCCCGCCTACCGCGTGGTGTACGTCAACGTGGTGACCCTGGGCTGGGACACCTACCTGTCCTACCTCAAACACCGGGTGAGCCCCGCCCCTGAGCCCCGGGAGTTCCCAAAATTCCCCCAAATTCACGGCGTGATCAAGGTGCAAGAGACCCTAAAGGTCATGGAGTGCACCCCAGCCCCAGCACTGAGCCCTGGCACCCCGTGCCACATCCAGGCTTTTCTTAAATTTGTCTAGAGAGGGTGACTCCTCCACTTCCCTCTGCCCTGGGAGTTCACAGAAATCCCCCAAATTCACAGAATGACCGGGGTGCAAGAGACCCTAAAGGTCGTGGAGTGCAACCCAGCCCCAACCCCTCAACTGAGCCCTGGCACCCAGTGCCACATCCAGGCTTTGTTAAACACCCCCAGGGATGGGGACTGCACCACCTCCCCAGGAAAACCATTCCAGTACTTTGTCCTTCTTTCCATAAAACACTTTTCCCCCATATCCAGCCTGTATTTCCCCTGGTGCAGCTGCAGGCTGTGTGCTCTGCTGCTGTCAGTTCCTGGAGGAAGAGCCCAGCCCCAGCTGGGCACAGGCCCCTTTCAGGAGCTGCAGAGTGCTCAGGTCACTCTGAGTCCCCTGTTCTCCAGGCTGAGCGCCCCCAGCTCCCTCAGTTGTCCCTCCCAGGGTTTGTGTTCCCAGCCCTGGTGCCCCTCTGGATGCCCCCAGTGTCTCAAAGTCCCTCCCAGGGTTTGTGTTCCCAGCCCTGGTGCCCCTCTGGATGCCCCCAGTGTCTCAAAGTCCCTCCCAGGGTTTGTGTTCCCAGCCCTGGTGCCCCTCTGGATGCCCCCAGTGTCTCAAGGTCCTTCCCAAGGCGAGGGGCAGGCCTGGGCAGAGCCCTGGAGGTGTGCCCAGCGCAGGGGCAGGGTGGCTCCTCCTGGGCAGTGCCCAGCTCACCCCGGGCTCCCCGGGTGTTTTGCAGCCCCGCAGCCCCAGGCAGGAGCCACAGCAGAGCCAGAGCAGCGCCGGCGCCTAGAGAGGGAGCAGCCCCCCAGAGCATCCTGAGATGGATTTCTGGGCATTGTGGAACCCCCCAGGCTGGCCAGAGCCAGTGCCTGCTGCTCATTAACTCATCTGCTAATTACAGCCATGGCTTGGGGTTGTAACAATCTGGTGTTGCAGGAGAAGCTGTGAAGTGATTTCTTCTGGGATTTGCCCGCAGAGCCGGGGTGAGCAGGAGCTCTGCAGCCCCTGGGCAGGGCCCTGCCTGGGTTTGCTCCCTCTGCAGAGCAAACCAGTGCCCTGCTGCTCCTCCAGCACCTTGCAGCCTCCTGGATCCCCCTGCATGGATTTTGGGAAGGAATTCTTCCCTGTGAGGGTGGTGAGGCCTGGGATGGAATTCCCAGAGCAGCTCCTGGATCCTTGGCAGTGCCCAGGGCCAGGCTGGAGCAGCCTGGGATGGTGCAAGGTGCCCCTGCCATGGCAGGGGTGGGAAGGGATGGGATTTAAGCTCATTCCAGCCCAACCCCACTCCCTGATTCCCTCTGGCTGCTCCTCTGCTCTCCCTGCAGCTCCTCACTCCTTCCCCTCCTGCTTTTCCTCTTCCAGCTCGGGGATAAAATCCCTCCACTCCCCCCAGCTCGGGCGGGGGCTGCAGCCACCTGCACCCTCTATAAATAGGGGTGTGATTGCAGCGCTGGGGAGGAGGCAGGGCGGTTGGAGCCAGATTTTGGCAGAGTTTGGGCCATCACATCCCTCTGCTCCCAGCCCTGGGCAAGCTGGAAGCTCCCTGCATAACCCAAGAACTGAATTATTTCCAGTGTCAATGAAAATTGCCTGAATGGGTTTGGTTTTGTTTTTTTTTTACTTGATTTTTAAAGCTGTGCCTTAATGCTCTGCCCTGGTCCCTGCTGTCACACACCCGGGGGGGACTCAGCTCCTCCCTCAGCAGCAGCAGGAGCCATTTGGGGGATGATAATTTAAAAAAATCCTATTAATTCTGCTCCTCTCTGGCAACTCAGGGACCCCGAGGAACTTGTGATCAGCATTGGTTTATTTCTTCACAACATTTCTTTTAATACAGTGATTTTTAGGAAATTGTACTCTTTTTGACACTTTTGACATTTGTACAGTACAGTGTAACTCTTCCATAAGTAAACTTCACAAAAAAGAGGAGGGGAGGGGAAAGGGAGGGAGATGGAATCATGGTGGGGGGAAATAGAGGGAAACCTGTAAAATAAAGACACAGCGCTCCAGGAAAAATAAATAAAGGGCAGCTCTGTCATGGCTACGGGAATATCCACTTATTCACAGTCTCCACAGAAGCACAGAACTACAGGAACACGAGATCCCAAATCCCTGGAGCAAAGCAGCCACGGTCCCAGCCCTGCTCCCCCCCCACGAGCCCAAACTGGGGCTGATCTGCTCCAGCTGGCTCGGCCTGGCTGATTATTGAATGAATTTTTCATTTGAAATCTCATTATTTAAATAATAACAGTTTTGTCCTCGTTGGGTTGTGTGTGGGGGGGGGGAGGTGGGTGGGGTTGTTGGTTTGTTGTTTTTTTTTTGTGGGTTTTTTTTCTTTAAAAGTGATATTCACAAGCAAGGTTACCACACTGAGAGAAACAAAACCAAAAAAAAAAATCAGAATATATATATATATATATATATATAAATGCACCACCACGGCCACAGCACAGCAGGTCACGCGCACAGCGTCACTTCCTACGCCTATTTACAAGGAATTTCTGTATGTACAAGGAGGAAGACGGCGGGAGCATAAATTAGCATCTATTTATACAAATAAACAAGAGTCAGGAAATATCCATCCAGCTGGAGGGGCAGGAAAGCCGGGCACAAAGAGCCCCCTGCACCAGGAGCTCGGGGGGCAAAGGGGGCACGCGGGGTGGCGTGGAGTGGGGAGGGGGATTTGGGGGTCCTGTCACAGCACCCACACGCTGGGAAGGGGGTCCCAGGGCAGGGGGATCCCCAGGACAGGGGGTCCCAGAGCAGGAAAATGGGCAGGGGGTCTCTGGGGCAGCACAGTCCTGGTGGGGGGGGGCCTGCTGGTCCGTGAGCTGGGGGCCCTGCTTGGCGCCGGTGACGGCGGGGGCGGCCGTGTCCAGGGACTCCGACATCTTCTCGCAGGTCCCAGGACAGGGGGTCCCAGGACAGGAAAATGGGCAGGGGGTCTCTGGGGCAGGGGATACCAGGACAGGGGGTCTCCAGGACAGGGGGTCCCAGGACAGGAAAATGGGCAGGGGGCCTCCAGGACAGGGGGTTCCAGAACAGGAAAATGGGCAGGGGGTCCCAGGACAGGGAGTCTCCAGGCAAGGGGTGCCAGGACAGGGGAGGGGGATCACCAGGGGAAATGGGGCTGGGGGTGATGGTTCCTTGACAGTGATTAAAAGCAGAATGGAGGGGTGGGGGGGAGGAGTTTTCTACCAGCCCAGGCTTAAAAATAAATTAAGGGGTGGGGGGCATAGCCTAATGAATTGGGGTGGGGGGCTCCTAGAGGGGCCGCAGCCCTTTGGGAGACATCAGCAGCAAAAGCCCCCGCGGGACCCCCGCGAGGAGGAGCTCGTGGGGGGGGTTTGGGGTGCACTGACCGGTTTTTGGGGGGGTTTTGGGGTGGGGGGCTGGCCCTAGCAGGCACAGTCCTGGTGGGGGGGGGCCTGCTGGTCCGTGAGCTGGGGGCCCTGCTTGGCGCCGGTGACGGCGGGGTCGGCCGTGTCCAGGGACTCCGACATCTTCTCGCAGATGATGTCCACCAGCCGCTCGAAGGTCTGCTTCACGTTGATGTTGTCCTTGGCGCTGGCCTCGAAAAACTCAAACCCTGAGGTGGGGAGGGGGGACAAGGTGGAGGGGGACAGAGGGACAAAGGGACACAGGGACATCAAAGCTCCGGCCCCGCGTCCGACCTGGCGCGGCTGCTCCTCCTCCTCATTCAATATTTAAAGGGTTTGCAACGCGCCCCCACCACCCTCAAAATCCCCTTTTTCCCACCCAGAGAACCCCCCAGATCCTCCCCCCAGCATCTCTCAGATGTTGAAGGTGTGTGGTGACTCTGGTGTTTCACCCAGTCACCACCGACGTCGGAGCGCAGCGATTGCACGCGGGGGATTAAGCCCTTAATTAAATTAATTGTGGGCTGGCAGCCGCGGTGGGGGGCTCCCCCTCCCCAGCTCACCCAGGTGCTCGGCGAGCTGGCGTCCCTTCTCCGAGGACACCACGCGTTCGTCCTCCATGTCACACTTGTTCCCCACCAGCAGGACCTGGGCGTTGTCCCACGAGTAGGTCTTGATCTGGGTGGACCTTGGGCAGGGCAGAGGGGGCTCAGAGGGGCTCGGGGGGGCGGCTGGGGCGGTTTGGGGTGCCCAGAGCCCCCCCGGTGCTCACCAGTCCTGCACGGCGTTGAAGGACTCCTCGTTGGTGATGTCGTACATGAGGATGAAGCCCATGGCCCCGCGGTAGTAGGCGGTGGTGATGGTGCGGTACCGCTCCTGCCCGGCCGTGTCCTGGGGCACAGGGGGCAGCAGGGTCACCCCCGGGGACGAGGTGACACCCCCCAGGGCCAGCAGGGGCACGGGGCAGATCCAACCCCAGCCTGGAATCGCCCTGGTGGGGCAGCTCCACACTGAGCATCACCCCAACGAGCATCACCCCACGGTGATTGTCACCCCAAGTGACCATCACCCCAATTGACCATCACCCCACAGTGATTGTCACCCCAAGTGACCATCACCCCTCACTGACCATCACCCCAAGTGACCATCACCCCATAGTGACCGTCACCCCTCACTGACCATCACCCCCACACCTCACTGACCATCACCCCCCCACCACCCGCCGCCCCCTCCCCACCAGCCCAGCCCAGCCGCGGGGTCTGGGGGCTCCCCGGGGGTCCCCCCTCACCCAGATCTGCAGCTTGATGCGTTTGTCGTTCCGGTAGATGGTCTTGACCTTGAAGTCGATGCCCACGGTGCTGACGAAGGCGGGCGTGAAGGAGTCGTCGGCGTACCGGAACAGGAAGGAGGTTTTGCCCACGCTGCTGTTGCCGATGATCAGGATCTTGAACATGTAATCGAAGTTCTGGTCCGAGGATTCCTTCTGCCCATAGCGGGAGTCAGTAGCGGACGCCATCTGCAAGGGGGGAGAGGCCGTGACGGGGCCGGGCCCGCGCGGCTCCCAGCAGGGATCGGGAATGTTTTGGCTCAGGACGGGCGATGGCGTGGCCATCCATGGGTCACTGAGCCCCCAAGGGCTTGGGGAGGCCACCTCCTGTCACCCGCAGAGCAGGGACCCGCGGCGTGTCCACGGGAATGGGGGGCACGTGGCCCCTGGTGTTTGCCATGGCCACGGAGATCTGCCACGGCTGCCAGGAACTGCCACGGCTGCAGGATTTGCTGTGGCTCCCAGGATTTGCCATGGCTTCCAGGCTTTGCCACGGCTGCCAGGATTTGCCACGGCTCCCAGGAATTGCCACGGCTCCCAGGAACTGCCACGGCTCCCAGGAATTGCCACGGCTCCCAGGAATTGCCACGGCTCCCAGGAATTGCCACGGCTCCCAGGAACTGCCACAGCTCTCAGGAATTCCCACGACTCCCAGGAATTGCCGTGGCTCTCAGGAATTGCCATGGCTGCTGGGATTTGCCGTGGCTCTCAGGAATTTCCACAGCTCTCAGGAATTGCCACAGCTCCCGGGATCTGCCATGGCTCTCAGGAGCTACCACAGCTTCCAGGCTTTGCCATGGCCACAGAGATTCCTTGTGACCTCCAGGCTTTGCCATGGCTGCCAGGAATTGCCACGGCTGGCTGCAGGATCTGCCGTGGCTCCCAGGATTTGCCACGGCTGCCAGGAATTTCCACAGCTCTCAGGAATTGCCGTGGCTCCCAGGATCTGCCGTGGCGCTGGGGGTGCGGCCGGGGCGCCGCAGCCTCTCCCGCATCCTCCCGGTGACAAAATGGCACCGGCGGCGGTGCCCCCGCACGGCGCGGCCAGCGCGGTGACACGGAGCCGGGGGGGTCACACGGAGCCGGGGCAGGGCCATGCCAGGCAAGGGGGCACAGAGGTGGGTGCGTGCCCAGGGTGGAGCCCGGGGATGCGGGGAGCTCGTGGAGGGGGGGCAGGAATGGGGTGCAGGGCGCTGATGGGCATCTCGGGGGGCTGGAGGAGGGNGGGAGGGGGGGGGTCTCACCTCTGCCGCGCTCGCGCCGCCGCCTCCTCCCCGCAGCGACTGCAGCAGATGCGGAGCCCGGGTGACGTCGGCTGAAGGGGCGGGGTTATCTATGCAAATGAGCCCGGACGTCACGGGCGCGCCCCTGAGGGAGGCGCTGATTGGCTCGGCGGCGCGCTTTGATGGGCAGCGGGCGGACGGGGGGGGAGACCCCCCCCTCCCGGCGCGGTGGTGGGCGCCGCCCCCTCCTCCGGCAACGCGCAGTGGTGCGGTCCGGCCGCGCTACGCGGGGCGCGGGATGAACCACCCCTGCGCCGGCGGGGGTGTAGGGCAAACCATTCCCGCTCAAAGGGGGGGGACGATGTTTGACAGGCTCCCTGTCGCGACATGGCGCGCTATCGCGACGCCTAACATAGGCCTGCAGTGGCGGGCGGGCCGATCCTTCCCGTGGCAGGGCGGCTGGCGCTGAGGCGGGGCCGGTGCGCAGGTGGGCGGCCATGTCCTCCCTCGCCCTGAGGCCCAGCGGGGATTAGGGCCGGCAGCATATGGCGGCCTGAGGGCAGCGGCGCCGCCCGGGCCCTGCCCTGCCCTGCCCCGCCCGGGGGCTCCGTGCCCTCGGCCCCGGTGCAGCTCTTGGCTCCTGCCCAGGCCCAGCCCACAGCCACAGCCCCGCGGGGACCGAGCCGGACGCGGTGGGCTCGGGGCGGGGGCGTGGGGATGGACACAGGGCAGGGATGGACACAGGGCGGGGATGGACAGGGGACAGGGATGGACATGAGGGCAGGGATGGACACAGGACGGGGATGGAGCCAGCCATGGGATGGATATGGGGTCAGGGATGGAGCCAGGTGTAGGATGGAACCAGAATTAGGGATGGATCCACAATTAGGAATGGAGCCAGGCTCAGGGATGAACCCAGAATTAGAGATAGATCCAGAATTAGGGATGGATCCAGAATTAGGGATGGATGCAGGCTCAGGGGTGGACCTGGCTGCTGTGGCCATTTTCCATCACCTTCCCCAGCCAACAGCCCCACTGCCCCCCTCCTGCAGCAAGAAACGGGGGGAAAAGGGCTTTTTCCACCTGCCTCGCTCCACCCTGGGCTGGATCTGGATCTGAGGAATTTGAGAGCACAGAGCCTCAGCCCATCCCTATCTGGAGAGACAGGGGGACATCCAGAGCCACCAGGGATGGCACAGGGGACATCCAGCACCCACCAGGGATGGCACCGAGCCGCCACCACCCCGAGCAGGACCCGGCACTCCCGGAAAAACCCTGGGGAACGCCTGGGCTGGGGAAAAACCATCAGTTTGTGAGGCCCTGCTGCTGCCAGGGCAGGCAGGGGGCGAGGGCCCCGCGTGCCAGGGCAGTGCCACGGGTGGGGCCGTGTTTGTGGAGATAAATCACCGTGGGGAGCAATGCGGAAGAGCGCGGCGCGGGCTCCGCAGCGCGCCAAGCCGGCGATTAAATATTTACCTTAGCAGGTCGTGTTTGCCAGTGATGGATCGGCGTTTCCAGGGAGGAGCTGGCTTTTGTTCCAGCACGGAGCCAGGCCCTGCCCGCCGCCCGGCGGGAGACGGGGCCGCCAGCCACGCCGCTCCCCGGGGACACCGGCTGCGGCTCCCGTGACACAAAGAGGCGCTGGCAAGGCTCGTGTTTAGGGTGGAACAAACCGGGTTTAATCTCTGGAAGGTGAGGGAAGAATCCCAAAGGACCCTGCCCCAAGCAGGACAACGCAGATGGGGGGTGGGGGGGTGGTGACAGCACCCGCCAGGGTCCGAAATGTGAAATGCAAATGGTGTTTGGAGTGATCGCAGAGAAGAAATGGAACTTTCCTCCCCAAAAATGCGTCTTTTCTGCCTCAAAAATGTGTGTGAGCCTCGGGGAGGCTCGTAGTAAAAAGTGAGCTACAAAAGGCTTTGAAAAGTGAACCCATCCCCAAATAAATAAAGCACTGAGCCGTGCCCGTGCCGTGCCGTGCTGGGGGTGCCTCGTGCTGGGGGTGTCACCAGCACCCTCTGCCCACCTCGTCCTGCCAGGGGACACCTGGCCAGGTGCAGGAATGCTCCTTCCTGCGGCGCTGTGGGGCGTGATGTCCCCAGGGCTGGGCTGGGCCCAGAGCAGCGTGTCCCCACGCCCTGTCTGAAGGGGACAGGGACCTTTCCCAGGGAGAAGGCCAGCAGCATCCTCGTACCTGTCAGGACCTGCCCAGCTCCCAGACGGGGACACATCCCAGGTGCCTCTGAGTGCCAGTGCTCCCCAGTGCCAGCTCCCCGCTGTCCCCAGCACTGCCAGGGCACCCAGGGGCCGCTACGTGCCCAGGGACAGGAATGTGACATTGCCCTCAGTGTCCAGGCACAGCCCCTGGCTGCCCTCGGGGCCTGGCACGGGGCAGCCGCCGCCGCCGTCCCTGGGCAGCGTGCCCTGCAGCGCCTGCCGGTTGTCCACGTCGCTGGGGCGGGGGACAGGCGAGTCCCGGTCCCCGGGGCCGGGGGACAGGCGCTTGGGGTCGGCACACTCCAAGTCATCCGTGCCCGGCGTCTTGGAGCCGCTGTTGTCCTCGTCCAAGGGGCTCTCGGCGCCCTCCAGCTCCGTGTCCGACTCACCCTCCTCCTCCTCCTCTTCCTCCAGCGTCAGCTCGAACTGGAACTTGTCGGCGGTGGCGGGGGACGCGGCGGCTGCCTCGGGCGGAGGCGAGGGGCTGCGCGGGATCATGCTCTGGTACCACTCCCGGTTGTCCTCCAGCGTGTCCAGCAGCTCCTGGGCGTCGGGGTGCACGAGGTCGGCCCAGGTCTCCCACAGCGGGTGGGCGATGAAGTCGATGAATCCCACCTGGGGGGAGGCACAGCTGAGCCCCCCTGCCCGGCCCTGGCAGCCTGCCCTGCCCCCAGGCTGCCACCCCACCTGGGACTTCTCCACGGAGGCGGTGTGCTTGTCGCACATGGGGCTGATCTCCATGCCCCTCTCCCGCTCCCGGTCTCCCTGGCGGAAGAACTCCACCATGATGCGGTCGGTCCACTGCCGGTACAGCTCCAGCGGCTTCGTGGGGTTGCTGAGGTCGGCGCAGTGCACCATGTTCTGCAGAACCTGTGGGCGTGGACGCCGTGTCCTCTGTCCCCCAGGGCCACCCACACCGTGCCACGAAGTCGCCTGGCCACCCCCAGTTGGGTTTGGGATGGTGGTGGCACCAAGTGGGACATCCCGGCAGGCCAGAGCTGGGATGGGCACCTGCTGGGAGGATTGCCCAGGTGTGTCCCCACCTGGATGCGGTCAGAGTAGTTGTCCAGCAGCAGCACGCCCAGGCTGGTCACCTTCTTGGTCTCCACCATGGTCTTCAGATCCGCCAGCAGGTTCATGTGCTTGGACATGTCCGTGGCCAGCACCTGGGCAGGCAGAGGTGGGAACGGGTCTCAGCCCGATCCCCCAGGCCAGACCCCACCCTGGGCTGCTGCAGCCCCCATACCATGTCGATGACCATTTTACGGAGCGTCTGCCTCTGCTTCCTGCTCAGGTTCTGGAAGATGTCGCAGTTCTCCTCCTGGAGCAGCTTGAAGCCCACGGCCAGGTGGTGATTCTCCAGCACCGAGGCGTCGTTGTACATCAGGGCCAGCTCCGAGTCTGTGAGACAGCCCTGGTCACCCCGGGGTGACTCCTGGGGTCCCCCAATATCCCCCAGGTCCATCCCTGAGCCCCAGCTCACTGGTGTTGATGAGGAACTGGTTGGAGACCCCGGGGTGGTCAACGTCGTGGATGGCGCTGGCAAAGATGGCAGCCATGATCTCCAGGTCCGTGAAGACAGCCTAGGAACGGTGGAAAAACACATTGGGGACACATGACAGCCCCACCAGGCACACCTGGGTGGCCTCGGTGACCAGGACTCACCTCCAGCGCAGGCGTGGAGAGCAGGACGTGCGTGGACTGCGCCACGTCGGCGGCGTGCAGGCTGTTGTGGTAGGCCACGTCGGCGTGGTAGTGGTCCTCCAGCGTCAGCATGTAGGTGATGAAGGTGTTGACGGGGATGCGGAAGGTCTTCATCAGGTCACGCTCCTGCAGGAGGGCGGGAGGTGGCTCGTCCCCATGCGGGCATGGGGACAGGGCCGTCCCGGCGCGACGCTCACCTGGAAGATGCTGTACATGATGACGGTCAGCGGGCGGTTCCCCGAGTACTCGGCGACTTTGAACACGTCGAGCCCCCACTTGTTGGTGTCCTCCAGCTCCTGGGGAGCAGAGGGACAGAGATCCGTGGGGGGGTGGTTCTGGGGACCCCACGGCCGGGGGGTCACCCCTGGCAGGGCCCACCTTGGCCAGCAGCGCCTCGTGCTCCGTGCGCACCCCGAAGCGGGGGATGCCGGCGGCGGCCAGCCTGGAGCCGTGCTTGAGCTTCCTGACGCCGCTGATCTGCGACATGGGGCGCTTCCTCCGCTCCTTCTCCTTGTCCTTGGCCAGTGCTGAGGGGATCTCCACCTCGTGCTGCTTGTCTGGGGGGACACGGGGAGGCCAAAGGTCACTGCCAGCATCTCCCCGGGTCACGCTGAGGACAGGCACAGGTCACTGTGACAGTTTGGGGGCTGCGGCACTTTACTTCACCCACAGGTCACACATCTGCCAGGGGACCCCTGGACGCTCCTCCAGGCACACGGGGTGGCCCCAGTGCACCAGTATACACCAGTATGAGCCAGCACTCCCAGCCAGGACAAACACCATGACATTTGTGGGACAAATCCCACTGGGACACCCAGGAAAACCCCCCTGGCCTCCCCATTCCATTCCTCCACAAGAAGCAAGCGGGACCCTCTGCTGGCATCATCCCCGCGGGCACCCCAGCTGGCTGGGGACACAAAGCCCACCCTGCTGCCAGCGGGGAGGTGACCCCGGGGCAGGGGTCCTCACCCAGGAAGGTGCTGGAGATGTACTCGGACACCTGGTTCCCGGAGCGGCTGGTCTCCGAGAGGTGCGTCAGCTCCCGGCTCAGCATCCGCTTGAACTGTGGGTTCAGGGCAGGGTCAGCGGTGCGGGGGGCTGGCAGGACACCCTGGGGGGCTCTGGGGTCCCCGTGCCCGCCAGGGTGACCGTGAAAAGGTCCCTTACCTTGTTGGAGGCCATCTCGCTGACCGAGTGCCTGGTCTGCAGCGTCTCCAGCTGGTCCAAGCACCAATCCAGCTCCTCCAGGGTCTCCCTCGAGAGCTTCTGGTGGGCATCTTCTGCTGGGGACACCCGCCAGCTTGGCAAGGGACCTGCCAGCAGCACGGCCACCCGCCACGGGGGGGGCTGTGCCACCCCAAACCCGCGTGGAGGGTCGCAGCACCCCCCGAGCGGGGCGGCGGGGGGCACGGGGGGGCGCGGGGCTCGGGCATCCCTGGGCAGCGGGGCTCAGCCCCGGCACGCTGTCCCCATGGCGTGGCAGCCCCGGCACGCGGCGTGCCACGCTGTCCCGCGGGGTGACAGCCAGCCCCGGGGGCAGCCGGGCTCCCGCGGGGCCCCGCTCACCGCCGGGCTTTTATTAATGGAAGGTTTGACGTCAACCGGAGCTTTTCCACCGCCGCCAAGGGCGGCCAGGCGGGAGGAGCTGCCGAAAACCAGACATGGATCCCAAAGGGCAAAGCCGCAGCTCTGCCTCGCCTTGGGGGGAGGTGGCTGCGCCCCCAGGGCACGGCAGGACACGGCCTGGGGACACGGGGACAGCCAAAAATCTCCCCGGCACCGTCCCCCGGCACTCACCGGAGAGGCTGGCCTTGCTCCCCGAGGGCAGGCTGCTGCTCGATCCTCGCCTGTCAAACACGGGGGGCTGAGTGGCTGTGACCCCACAGCGGTGCCCCCCGCCCGGCCGTGGGCTGGGGTCCCCCCTCGGGTGACACCCTCGCCCTCCCGCCCCCCACCGACTCACTTGAAGCCAGCGCGGTCCTGGAGGTGGGTCAGGTTGCTGCGGACGGTGCGGAGGCTGGCCAGGACCTGGGGGGCGACAGGGGGCTGGGGTCGGGCGGAGCCCCCCGGGACACCCACCCCGCCGCTGGCCGCACGCCGCGTCCCCTCCTGTGTCCCCCGTGGCACCTACCTGGGCAAAGGGTGTGACGATCATGTCTTCTCCATGCCTGCGGGAGCACAGGGAGCGTGAGGCTGGGCACGGGGAGGGGAGGGGGCTGCGGGCTGGGGGGACACTCACAGGTCGCTGGCGATGGAGGAGTTGCGGGACATGGCTTTTGGGGACAGGTCGTAGTCGCTGTCGGAGCGGTACAGGAAGGACTCGCGGCGCTGGCCGTGCGAGAAGGTGCCCTGCAGGACCAGCCCCGCGCCCGGGCTGGCCTGGGGGTCCAGGGCGCCCCGGCCGGGGGGGCCATTCTCCAGGTCAAAGCTGTGAAGGGAGAGGGGACGAGGCTGGCACGGGGCGCGTGGCTCAGGGAGCTCAGCCCAGGGTTTGTCGGGATCTCTGTGCCACCATCTCGCTCTGGCTTGGCGGCCCTGTGGTGACAGCGGTGCCCGGTCTGGCCCCGCTGGCTCCTCCACCTGCTGAGGACGGGCACAGCCCGGTGCACAGGGATCCTCTCAGCTCCCTGCTGGCACAGTGGCCCTGGGACTGCGACACTGACCAGCAGAGCCAGGCGGTCCCTTGTCACCCAGCTGGGACAGCACCCGCTGCCCTGAAGCTCCCAGCTCCAGGGACCCCCAGGAAGGGCTGGCTCCTGCCTGTCCCTCCCCCTGCCTGCCACCAGCACCCCGGCCCCAAGTCCTCCAAAGCCTCCATCAGCCTCGAGGTGCCGCGTCCCATGGAGGGGACAATATCCCAGCCACGGCACCGAGCCAGGGGACATCGAAGGACAGAAACCGACGCAGAAGCCAAGCCCTGGCCCCTGGGGACACGCTGGCGGCAGCCCAGGGGCACCCCGACCAGAGTCACCTGGCAGCCGTGTGCATCCAGGGGGGACAGGCATGGTGACTCCGCAGTGTCCCCAAGCTGGCCGCGGCCGCCTCACCCACCCTGCCGCTCTGCTGGCCCCGGGGTCATGGGAAAGGCTGCACGCAGCGGGGACACAGCGAGGGCCATCCAGCGCCTGTCCCCTCCCGCAGCCGCCCCCGCCGTGGGGACGGCGACAAGCCACCCCGGAGCGGTGGGAAAGCGCAGATGCCACCGGGGCCACCGTGTCGCCAGCGGGAGCCCGGCACCTACCCGATGCAGGAGTGCCTCCGGGACGGGCACCGGCTGCCCGGCAGCATCGTCCCGCTCCGGCAGCCCCGGCGGCTGTGGCGCGGCCGCCCCCGGCAGTGGCAGTGCCAGTGGCAGTGCCAGCCGGCACCGCGTCATGCCATCCCGCAGCCCCTTGTTTTCCTGCCTCGCCTTCCCATCCCCGATGGTACCGGCGACACAAAGCCGCATTGTCCCTGAGGGCCCCGCGTCTGTCCCGGGCCCCGTGCCACCCCCCCGACCCCGCTGCCACCGCAGGGGACAGCCCCGGGGGACACGAGCCCCCGCCACGGGGTTGGTGCCCAATTAACCCCCCTGGTTTCGGCGTTAATGACCTCCGAGCGGTGGTGGCGGCGGTGGCGGGGGGGCCGGGGCCGCTATAAATAGATGCTGTCGCTGCCGAGGAGGGATGTGCTGAGCCCCAGGGCGCAGGTGGGGCCGGCCCCCCAAAACCGACCCCACAGAGCCGCGAGGTGGGGAGGGCAGGGACGAGCCGCGCTGGGTGGGTTGCTGCCCCGATTTGGAGGGCAAAGCCCCCCTCCGTCCCCACCGTGCCACCCCGCCGGGGTCCCTGCCTGGCCATCGCTGCCCTGAGCGTGTCCGTGCTCAGCCCCGCCGGCTCCCCCTGACCACGAGGGGACACCCGCTGTCCCCTCCTCGTCCCCCGCGGGCCCACAGCCCCGAGGAGGTGCCGCAGCTCCGGGGGGAGCCGTGCCCCCACGCCGGCAGCACAGGCTGGTGCCACCCCCGCGGGGACCCGCCAGCGTCCCCCCTTACCAGAGGGGATGCGCCACGGTGAAGCGCCGCTGCAGGCGGATGCTCTGGTTCATCAGGAGCTTCCTGAAGAGGACGGGAGAATTGCGGGGCGAACTGCGGGGGGACGCGGCCGGAGAAGCCCCCGGCGTGGGCAGCATGGCCCGGCTCAGGGAGCCCCGGGCCGGCGGCGCGGCCGCGCTGCCCCCGGTGCGGAGCAGGGAGCGTGCGGCCGTCCCGGCCCCGGCAGCCCCGGGAAACTTTCCATCCCCCTCCCGCCCTGCGCCTGGGAAATTAAACAACTGTCTGGCTCCGGCAGCCGGCGCAGGGAGCGGGTCCCCCCCCGGTGTGCCTGGCGGCCCGGGCACGTGGCCCCTCGCTGGCCCGGTGCCACCGGCCACCCCGCTGTCCCCGAGGCCGCAGCTGCTCCTGAAAGGGCAAGGGTGCTCCGCCTGGGGACACGGAAAAACGCCCCGCGAAGCCCCCCCAGGGAGCCAGGGGTACGGAGGGGACGTGCCACGGTGCCGCGGAGGGACACAGCTGAGCACGGAGCATCCCGGACGCGCGGTGGGGCGGTGACACGGTGCCAATAAGGGACATGGTTGAGTCTGGAGCATCGCGGACACACGGTGCGGCTGTGCCATGGTGCCACCAAGGGGCACAGCTGAGCTCGGAGCGTCCCAAACGCGTGGTGTGGCTGTGCCACGGTGCCACTGAGGGGCACAATTGAGTCTGGAGCATCCCGGACATGTGGTGTGGACATGCCACGGTGCCACCAAGGGACACAGCTGAGCTTGGAGCATCCCAGACGCGTGGTGTGGACATGCCACGGTGCCACCGAGGGAGCTGTGAGAGCCAAACCCGCCCCACACCGTGCCCCAGCCCCTCCCTGGTGCTGTCCCCTCCTGAGCAGAACAAGTGGTAGCAGGGGGAGGTCCAGCTGGTGACAGTGACACTGTGGGGGACCCACTGTGAGGTGGCCGTGGGAGCTGGCACCTGCCCAGCCTGATGTGGCTGTTCCTGATGGCCACAAAAACATCCAGCAGCTGGCAGGGAGCCAGGAGGGACAGCCACAGAGCCCCCCTGCCAGGACCCCAAAACCCACCGGAGGGGGGTCCTGGAGGGGTCACCTTGGCTTTCACGACACCAGGGCACAGGGATGTGGGACAGGGACATCAGGGGACGAGGGACAGAGGGAAGAGCCCCCTGTGCTGGCTGGCAGCCAGCAGCCCTGGGCAGCGAGGGCTGGGCTGGCCGCAGGACAGCCAGTGCCCGTCCCCAGGACAGCCAGTCCTTATCGGAGTGTCACTGTCCCCACGTGGCCGTGCAGGGGTGGAGGACAAGTGACACCAGAGCCATGTCCCTCGGCTGTGCCAGCTCGTTGCTGTCCCCACAAGCCGGGCTGGGAGAGGCACGGGACAGGGGGAACGGCCCAAAAATAGCCCTGCAGAGCACGGCTGGGCCCGAGCCACTGCGGGAGGGACCGAGGTCACCTCGGGCAGGGCCACGCCAGCCCTGCGGTGGCTCTGGCTGGGCCACGGGGTGGGGACAAGGTGGGGCGAGGAGGGTGAGGACAGGCATGGGTGGTGGGGAAAAGGCGGATGGGGGTGGCAGGGACAGGGGGGACAGGAGTGCTGTGCGGTGACAGCGACAGACGGTGACCACAGCGGGCATCCCGAGGCTGGCACAGCGGGCTCGGCGACAGAGGAGCTTGTCCCCAACCCACCGGGTGCTCTGCCCCGCTGCCGCTGTCCGGCCCTCGGTGCTGAAGCCGGGAGCGTCCCCGCCAGCCGTGCCCTGCCCGGTAACACGTTCCCGGTGCCACCGGGGCATCTCCTCCCCGCTCCCCGTGCCGCCCTTACCGGGGGGGCTCGGACTCATCGCCGCTGCTGGGGCCGCTCTCCTCGATGGTGAACACCACCCGGGCAGCCTCGGGCTCGGGGGCGCGGGCCGCCTCCGCCAGCCGGCAGCCCAGCGGCGGCAGCAACGGGGTCCCGGAGAAACGCCGGCGCACGGCGCCCACCGCCGCTCCCGGGCCCGGGCCCCGGTAGCGCGCTGGCGCCCCCTGCCGGACACGGTGCGGCGCTGCAGCCGGGGGTACCGGGGTGTCACCGGGGCTCGGGGGGCACGGGGAAAGGCACAGCCGGTGCACCGGGAGCGGCTCCGGCCGCAGCGCACCGAGCCACCGGGACCCCCCCGTCCTTCCCCTCCTCCTCCTCCCGCCGCCACCGGAGAGACCCCCCTGATTCCCCCGGGACCCCGCCGGAAAAACCCCCGGAGCCGGCGCGCAATTACGCAGAGGTGAATAATAATTAACCGCCCATTAAGGGGATAATTAACTCCCGCTCAGCGCCGCCAGCCCGGTTATTGCTGCCCGGGGGCCCGGCGCTGGGACGCTCACACCGGGGACACCCCTCGCCCCCCGGGACACCCCTCGCCCCCCCGGTGGCCCCCGGGGCCGGTCTCACCTCCGCGCCGAGGAAGGGCAGCGCTGTCCGGCTCCGTCTCATCGCCGTCCCTGCGGGGGGAGCTGCGGGAGCCGCGGCCGGGAGGGGCTCACCGGCGGGGACCCCCCTCCCGCGGCTGGGGACACCCCGGGGCCACCCCGGGGCCGGGACACGCGGGCTCCTCCCCGCCGTGATTTATGGCCACCGGCTCTCGGCCGGACTCAGCCCCCACCTCGGGTTTCGGGGCCCCCCCGCCTCACTCCCGGTGCTCCCGTGGGCTGGATGGGGACAGGGACGAGGATTTGAGGCCACGGGGGGTGACCCCCAGCCCGCAGCTCCCGCCAAATGGCGAAGCCACCGGTGCCACGTTAAGGATCCACCCGGGACACCGGGACCCACCGTCCCCGGGACCCCGCCGAGCCCCCAGCACCGAGCCCCCCGGGATCTGCCAGCACCGGCAGCGGCCTCATCCCAGTCCCGGGATCCGCCGGTGCCCGGCACGGGGGTCCCGGCGCCGCCAGCCCCCCGGCCCCGCCCGCAGCCCCTTACCGGTGCCCGGTCCTCGCGGCGAGCGCGGCCCCGGCCGAGTGCAGCGGAGCAGAAGGAAGGCGACGTGCGTGCCTGGCCGCTCGCTCCCTCCCTCCCATCGCACCTCGCCGGGGGGGCTCCGCGGCTCCCCCCACCCCGGCACCACCGGCGCGCTCCCCGCACCCGCCCCGCCGCACCGGCAGCGCCCCGGGGCCGCCAGCCCGGCCCGGGGCACCCCGAAAGGGGCTGGGGCTTCCCCCGGGAGCGGGGGTTTTCCCCGGGCGCCCTGCAGAGCACATGGCAGACGGGAAGGCAGAGGCAGGGCAGCGGATTCTTTATTCAGAGCGCGGGGAGCCCGGGGGGCTGAGCCGGGGGTCAGCTGGCGGAGGGGGGGGGGACAGGGGACCCCTCCGTCACTCTGCTCTGGGGAAGAAGAGAAAGAGAGCGGGGTGAGCGGCCGCACCCCGGGCCTGCTGCCCCCCGCAAATCCCCCCCCGGCCCCCCACGCACCATGGGCACCTCATCCAGGTGCTGGAAGGGGGGGGTCCCGCGCCGGGACAGCTGCGGCAGCAGCACGGCCACCCCCGCCACCAGCAGGCACACGGCCAGCGAGACCAGGGCAACCACGGCAGGGCTCAGCTCCGCGGGCTGCTGCTCTGTGGGGTGAGAGGGGCACCCTGTTATATCCCTTGGCACCCCGCTATTCCCCCCTTGGCACCCTTTTATTCCTCCCTGGCACACCGTTATCCCCGCTTGACACCCCGTTATTCTCCCCTGGGACCCTGTTATTCCCCCTGGCACCTCATTATCCCCCATTGGCACCTGTTATTCCTCCTGCACCCCATTATTCCCCCCTGGCACCCCATTATTCCCCTCAGCACCCCGTAATTCCTCCCATTGGCACCCTCTTATATCCCCTGGCACCCCGTTATTCCCCCTGGCATCCCATTATTCCCCCCTAGTACCCTGTTATTGCCTCCTGGCATCCCATTATTCCCCCACTGAGACTCGTGCCCAGCCTCCAAGCACCTCGGAGAAAGAGGTGGCTCAAGCCTGGCTCCAGTCACCCGACTGCCACCAGCCCACCCACCACAGCTCCTGTGTCACCTCCACCAGGGCGCTCTGACCCCCCTGGCAGACACTGGGGGAGAAAAGGGGAGCCCTCAACGACCCCCCCAAGGAGGGGGAGCAGCCAGGGGGGCTCGGGGCTCACCTTGGGACATGCACCCCTGAGCCCTCCTGTGAGTGCAGCCCCAAGTGGGGGATCCAGGGGGGCCCATGCCCACCCCAGGTCCCTCAGGTGCCCAGTGCTCCCCAGCCTGGCTCTCACCGGAGCTGCCAGCCGTGCTGCCAGGGGCTGCTGTCCTCCTGGAGCTGCTGGTGACAGTGCTGCTGCTGCTGGGACCCGGGCTCACGGTGGGGGAGCTGGGAGCAGGCCCAGAGGGCCTGGCTGAGGAGGGGGCTGGCGCTGGGGTTGAGCTGGATGGATGCTCTGGGGGTCTGGACACACTCGTGTGGGATGGAGGTGGTGCCGTGGTGGCACTGGATGAGGGTGTCACAGGTGGTGATCCCGGTGTCCTGGCTGAAGATGGTGCTGTGGTGGTGTTGGATGGAGATATTGGAGGTGCTGATTCTGAAATATTGTGTGGAGTTGGTGCTGTGGTGGTGTTGGATGGAGATATTGGAGGTGCTGATTCCGAAATATTGTGTGGAGTTGTTGCTGTGGTGGGGCTGGATGGAGATGATGGAGGTGTTGATCCCGAGGTACTGGATGGGGTTGTGGGTGTGGTGGGGCTGGATGGAGACAATGGAGATGTTGATGTGGAGGTCTTGGATGGAGTTGGTGTGATGGGGCTGGATGCAGATGATGGAGGTGTTGATCCCGAGGTACTGGATGGAGTTGTTGGTGTGATGGGGCTGGATGCAGATGATGGAGATGTTGATCCCGAGGTACTGGATAGGGTTGTTGGTGTGATGGGGCTGGATGGAGCTGCACGGACCCTTCCCGAGGCAGGGCCAGCCAGAGTCACACTCTGAGTGCCCTGGCTGGTGGCTGAGTGGGATGGAGATGGTGACACGGCTGTCCCTGAGCTGTTCTGAGACACTGTGGTGGCAGGATCAGTGCCACGTCCCGGCTCCAGACCTTGGGGGAGAGAGCTGGTGAGCAAGCACATGGCAGGGCCCTGGCAGGGTCCTGGCAGGGCCCTGGCAGGGCAGCACACCTGCCCCACCTCCTGGTCTCACAGAGATCACTTCCCAGGTGCTTTTGCTCCCACAGAAAGCTGGCATTCAGCCAGTATCAAACCCCAGAAATCCAGAGGCACAAGAGCTGCCCGAGCTGTCGTGGCACGGGCACAGCACTGCTGGGGACAAGCAGAGCAGCAGCGGGCAGTGCCAGGCCACGGGGACACGTGCCGACCCAGCCCTTGTGGCACCCGCTGGACACCCTGAGGGCCAGGCGTGCCAGGGACTCTCCCGTGGCCACGTGGGACAGAGCAGGTTTGCCGGGCAGTGCCCCTTATCTGCCCAAATCCTGTTTGCACAAGAGGAGGAGCAAGTCCAGACTGGCCCCAGGGGGACAGGGGACAGAAATGTCCCGTGGCAGAGCCAGCACCCAGGGGCACAGCGTGGCTGGGGGTCCCCACAGCTGCCAGGGATGGGCTGTCCCCACCAGCTGCCACCCTCTGCCAGGGTGGCACGGAGCCCAGGGGCAAGCACCCCGTGTGCCAGGATGGGTGAGCCCAGGCCCCTCGGGGTGCAGGGAGGGTGTGGGGGGCCCAGGCTGGAAACGGGGGGCCCACAGTGGCCCGGGACACCGGGGAGCCCTTTGCCCCAGGAGCGCCGATGCGGTGCCAGGGCACCCGTGCCAGGAGCAGCCGGTTTGGCAGCCCTGGCACCGCATTGGGAGGGGCAGGGTGCTCCGGTGCAGCCTGGCACTCCCGGGAAGGAGGTGCAGCCCCCCCCCCCCGGTGACCCCAGCCCCAAAGGGGATACGGAACCCCCCCAGTGCCCCACTGGGCTGCCAGTGCAGACCGCGAGGCAACGCGTGCCCACCTCCCCGCACTCCCCCGGTGCCCCGGGGCGCCTGGACGCTCCTCCCCATACCTGGAACCGGGCGGGGGGAGGCCCCAGACGCTTCCCGGTACCCACCGCTGGCACCGGGAAGCGCCCAGCCCCCCGGTGCTGCATCCCCCACGTGCCCCCGGGACCCCACGGACCCTCCCCGGTGCCCGGTACCTGCGGCAGCGAGCAGGGCAGCGGCGCAGAGGAGCAGGCGGAGCGCGCCCCGGGCCATCCCGCCCGGTGCCGCCGCCGGTGCCGCCGCCTTTATCCGCCCCGGGGGAAGCGGGCCCCCCGCCACTCCGGCCGTTTCCCCCGCCCATCTCCCACCCCGGGACCGTGAAACGCCCCCGGTACCGGGAGCCAGCCCTGCTGCGAGCTCCGCGGACACGTGGGGACAGCGGGAAGCGGGCACAAAGGGATCGGGGGAAGTGGGGACACTGGGATGTGGGGACTGGGGACAAAGGGACCTGGGGAAGGGGAGACACCGGGAGACAGGAACACTGGACCGTGGGAAGGTGGGGACAAAGGGACCTGGGGCCGTCAAGATGCAGGGACAATGGGATGTGGGGACATGAGGATGCGGGGATCTGGGGACACAGGGATCCGGTGACACAGGGCCACGGGGCCGGACAGGTGGCTGCCCCGTCCATCTCGGCGCCGGAGCGGCGCATCCGGGCGGGGCGCAGCACGACCGTGCCGGGACGGCGGGGACGGCGCTTTCCCCGGCAAACCGCGGCCGGCGATCCGCCCACGGCACGGCGGAACGGGGGGATCCCCGGGGAGCCACCCACGACACGTCCCGGTACGGAACGTGGGGGTTCTCGGGGAGCCACTCACGGCACGGCATGGTACCGAATGTGGGGTCCCCGGGGAGCCACCCACGGCACGGCACGGAACGTGGAGTCCCCCAGGATCCACGGCACGGCACGGAACGTGGGGGTCCCCGGGGAGCCCCCCAGGGCACTACCCGGAATGGAACGTGGAGTCCCCGGGGATCCACTCACGGCACGGCCCGAGGGGTGCCCGGGGAGCCCCCAGGGCCCCCACGCTGTCTCGCACAGCCGGCCGCCGGGAGCGGAGCGATGCCGCTGCTGGAACGGGCTGGGGTCGGCCCCTCGGCGCTGCCCTCCCCGGGACGGGGCCCCGCAGGTGGGGAGCGCGGAGGAGGAGCCTCTGCGGTGCCGGGAAGCCCAAGGGTGGTGCCGGAGTCGGGGAGGAGCGGTGGGGGCCCGGCCGCGCTGGGGGGCTCGGGGTGACCCCCGGGGCCAGGACAGGGGGGTGCTGGTGAGCCCCCCAACACGGAGAGGGGCTGGCAGGGCAGAGCCACAGCGGGGTCCCCTCGCCCACCTCCTCACACATGGGAACCCCCCCAGCCCCAGGGGAGCCCAAATTCACCCGTATTCCCCGCAAAAGAGGGGGGGAATATAATAACCCCAAATAACCCCGCAACACCCCCAGCCTCTCACCACCCCCTCCCCACAACATCCTCCACCCTTCCCCCTCCCCAACCACCACAACCCCTTGGACCCCCTCACCCTCCACCCTCTCCAGTGATCCCCAGAGCCTCCTTGCCAGCCCTGGAGGGGCCTTACTCCCCACCGCCCCCCAAAACTGCCCCAAAACTCCCCAAACCGCCCGGCCCCGTTTCCCCCCAGCCCAAGATGGCTCCCGGCCGCGCCACTTCCTGCCCGCGCCGCCCCTTCCCTTCCCTCCCCGGCCCTCCCGGGCGCAGCAAACAGCCAGAGGCCAATTCTCCGTGTCGCGGGGTTTTACTGGGACCGCACTGGAATGTGTGGGGCGCGGAGGGGCCCGGGGGGGCGGCCCGGGCCCCTCTCAGTCCGTGCGCGGCCTGTCCCAACGCGGGGAGCCGGAGCCGCTCCTGGGCCTCCCCTCAGAGCCCTCAGTCCGCGTCCGGGGAGATGGAGCGGGGGGGCGATCATCGCTCTTCTTCTCCCGCTCGGGACCCCTCGGTCCGGGCCCGGGACCCCTCGGTCCGTGCTCGGGACAGAGTGGGCGCTTCCCCCGCTCCCCTCAGTCCGTGCCCGGGATCCCGCGGTCCGTTCCCGGGACAAGGCGGGCTCTTCCCCCGCTCCCCTCAGTCCGTTCCCGGGACCCCTCAGTCCATTCCCGGGGCGAGGTGAACGCCTCCCCCGCTCCCCTCGGTCCATGTCCGGGGCAGGGCGGGCGCTCCCCCGGGTCCTTGCCCGGTACCCCTCGGTCCGTGCCCGGGCCGGGGCCCGCCCGGGGTCAGTAGGCCGGCACCTGGTGCTGGTGCTGGGGCAGGAGCTGGCAGCCGCTGTTGACGTGGCTGAGCACCTTCTGCTTGAGCTGGGCGACCTGCTCGCGGAGCAGGCTGGCGGTGGAGGCGAGCTCCGTGTTCTGGCTCTTGAGGCTCTTCACCTTCTCCTCCAGCCGGGAGATCCGCTCCAGCTTCCTCTTGCGGCACTTGGAGGCGGCGATGCGGTTCCTCAGCCGCTTCCGCTCCGCCTTGATGCGCTCCTGCGTGTCCATGTCGATGGGGGACAGCGGGGGGCTCTCCCCGAAGCTCGGCACCTCCGGCACGATCTGCGGCTCGTCCTTCAGCGGCGGCGGGGGCGGCGGCGGCGGCAGCCGCGGCGGCGGCGCCGCGAACGGGCCGGGGTCGGCGGCGTAGCTGACGGCCGGGTAGGTGCTGAGGTTGGCGTAGACCGGCGGCTCCGGGGCCATCCCGGCGGCGGGCAGCTCGCCCGCGCCGCCGCTTCCTCCCCCGCCGCCGCCGCTCCCCGCCGCGCCGCCGCCCAGCTGGTTCTGCTTGTGCAAGTCCTCCAGCGCCTTGACGAAACCCTCGGCGAACTCCTGCTCCTCGGAGGCGGCCGCTTTGGGGTAGAGGAACTGGCCGCTGGTCGGGGTGGTGGTGACCAGCCCGTTGGACTGGATGATGAGCCGCTCCAGCTCCGGGGACGCCAGCTTGAGCAGCCCCAGCTCGGCCGAGCCCAGCAGCCCCGCCGCCTCGCCGCTGGCCGCGCCGGGGGCTTTCAGCGCCGCCGCCACCTGTTCCGGTAAGGCCATCCCGAGCGCGTCCTTCTTCATCATGCTGCCGCCGGGGAAAGGCAGGAGGAGCCCGTTGCTGCCGGAGGACGGAGCGAAGCCGCTGCCGAGGCCGCTCAACACATCATCATGGTAGAAGGGTGTTTCCATCCTCCTCCCCCGCCCGGCTGCGGGGGAAACGGCGCCGGGGCGGGGGGAGGACCGGGGCGAGCGCGGGGCGGGGAGGGCGGGGGAGGCGCCCGGTGCGCACCGGACGCGGCCACGCTCCTGCGCGCGCGCACACGGCTCTGCCGCCGCCGCGCGCCCCGCGCCGCGTTAAATAGGCGGCGCCGCCGCGGTGACCTCACCGCGTCGGGTCCCCATTGGCTGCAGATGACGTCCTCGCCCGCCCTCGTTTGCATACGGGGCGTGGCCCCCGCCCCGCGGAGGCGGTGCCCCGCCCCGGGCCGGCCACGCCCCGGGCCCGTCGCCGCGGCGACCGGCGGTAAACGGGACAACAGCGCGCGGGGCCCTGGGATGACGTCAGCGCGGGGGAGGGGCGGTCACGTGGCCCCCGTGGCGTGCGCCCCGCCGGGGCTGATGGGCACAAAGGGAGGGGCGGGAACCGGGCACGGGAACGGGCACCGGGAACGGGCACCGGGAACCGGGCACGAGGAACGGGCACCGGGAACGGGGGACCGGGAATGGGCACTGGGAACGGGGAACCGGGCACTGGGAACGGGCACCGGGAACCGGGAATGGGCACGGGAACGGGCATTGGGAACCGGGAACGGGCACGGGAACCGGGCACAGGGCACGGGAAGGGGGAACGGGCACTGGGAACCGGGCACGGGAACGGACACTGGGAACCGGGCATAGGCACGGGAAGCGGGCACTGGGAGCCGGGAACGCGCACTGGGAACTGGGCACGGGAACCAGGCACCGGGAACAGGAATGGGAATTGGCTACTGAGAATCGGGACCGGGCATAGGAACCGGCACACCTGGCACTGGGTACCGGCACCGGGCTCCAGCACCGGAACTGTCCCTGGCACGGGCACGGCCAGCAGGACACCGGTACTCGCACCGGGCACCGGGCACTGGGCACCGGCACCGAGCCGGAGCCCGGCTGTAAAAAGGGTACAACAAACAAATAAAGAAACAAATAAAGAAAGAAACAAACACAACACCGGGCCAGGCACGGGCACGGGACCTGACGGGACCCTCCGGGCACAGCCAGGCCCCCCCGGTGTGGGTCAGCCCGGAGTGGCGGCAGAGCCGCCATCCCTCCGTGTCCCCGCCGTGCCCCGGTGCCACCGGGGTTCCCCCGGGGTTCAGCCGCTCCCCGCGGCCAGCCCCGGTTCACCGGGGACGGGGGGGTTCCCGTTCCCTCCGCGGTCAGCCAGGGGCACCGCGAGCGCGGCGCGGGCGGCACCGGGGAAGGAGTTAACGGCGGTAACGGCGGCGGCACACGTCACGGCCGGCCGGGCCCGCGGGCGGCTGAGGGGGCGGATCGGCGTCAGCGCTTGACGTCACCGGCGGGGGGAGCAGCGCCGGTGTCCGCCGGTCACCCCCGCGCCACACCGGGCAGGATGCGGCCCCCGCGCCGCCGAGCCCCCGGGACACCGGGGCGGTGACGCCGAGCCGGCGCTAATTGCGGCCAGATGCTTCGCGGCCCGCGCTAATGAGGGCGATAAATCAGCGCTGCGGGCGTGGGGGGGACCCGGGGGACCCCGCGCCCCCTCCCCGGGTCTGCCGGTGCCAGGCGCTGCCGCCGTGGTGTGTCCGTGCTGTGCGCTGCCCGCAGCCGGCGGGGCACGGCATGGCACGGCTCAGCATGGCACGGCTCAGCATGGCACGGCTCTGCCCTGGCTCTTGGGACACGGGTGACACCCGGGACGGGGCTGGGGCAGCGCTCGGGGCCGGCACACGCAGCGCTGGCACTGGGGAAACTGAGGCACGGCAGAACAACTGCGCTCTACCCTCCCCCCCCAACAGCTGCTGTTAATTAAATCCCGAATAAACGCGGTTTATTAAATCTGAGCGAGAGCAGAGCGCGCACGGCTCCGTGTCCCCCGGTGTCCCGGTGTCCCGGCCGGGGGGAGCAGCCCGCAGGTGAAGCCGCCCGTCCCAAACCCCTCATTAGGGGCGCGGCCGGCCCGGCAGGTTCAGACTTTCCACCCCGGCCAAACCCGGCGGGCGAGGGCCGGGGCGGTAAAAAGCCTCCCCTTGTCCCTGTCCCAGCCCCGGGCTCGTCCTGCCGTGTCCCCCCCGCCTGCCACCACCGCTGCTCATCCCGCGTGCCCCTTGTCCCCAGACCAAGAAACCAATGCCTGCAGCTTCATTTTCTTAATGAGCGCTTAATGAGGGGCGTGAATCAGCGACCCCTTCCTCCTGCCGTGCAGGGAGCTGGTGGCAGTGCCACCGTCCCCACGGCGGTTCCTGGAGGCACCGGAGCCACCGAGCCACTGTCCTGCCACCTGGGCTAGATGTACCCCGAGCGGGATTTGGGATGAGCCTCGAGCAAGGCCATGGCCACCAGAGCCTCCTCGGGGCTCCTGCTGTCCCCAGCAGTGCCACCAGAGCCTCCTCGGGGCTCCTGCTGTCCCCAGCAGTGCCACCAGGTCCATTCCCTGCGTGCCACCAGCTCCAGGACACCAGAGGAGCCTGACCCCGCTGTGGCCAGCAGCTCTGGACACTGAGGCCACGGGCTGGACACAAGGTGCCCGTGGGCTACCAGGGGTGCCCAGCTGCCCCTGGAAAAGGGAACAAGCAGGCTCTGCAGCCCGGGGTCTGCACGGCAGGCACCGGGCACGCAGGGGAAGCTGCCTCTTAGTCACTGCCACGGGCAGGGAGAGAGGAACCGAGCCGGGAAAACAAGAAGTCACAGCTGGCAGCGCCTGTCCCCAAACCTGCCCTGTCCCCGAGGAACCCCCAGGGGCCTCCGACAATCAAAAACAAGCATTAAAAAAAAAAAGAAAAAAAAAACAGAAAGAAAGAGAGAAAGAAAACAGATTTAAAAAGGAAAAAGGAGGAGGAGGAGGGTTTGACGTGTATTTTTAGTTGCTTAGCACAGCCCTGAAGTATTTCAGCAGCCACTCCCTCCGCGTCGCTGGTGTGTAACTATTCCTGTGCTGAGAGGCTCAGAAGCTCTGAGTCACCGTGGGGCAGTGGGAGACACAAACCCAGGGCTGCCACCAGCCCCAGTGCCACCAAAATATCCCGGGAAGGCTTTCCAGGGTGGCCTGTGCTGGGTCTTTCCGTGCGGGACGCGTTGGCTCTGCACCCACCCACGCCCAGCCAGGCTCAGACTTCTCTTCCTCCTCTCTGCTTGTTGCTTTTATCTCGCTCCTCCCTGCTTTGTTTCTCTTTTTTTTGGTTTTTTTTTTTTGAGCCTCCCTGCGCTGCCACGGGGCAGTGACAGCCCCAGACGTTCATTTTTGGGGCAGAAAAGCCCAAAGTGACAGCTGAGCTGCCCTTCCACAGAGCCACCCGCCACCCAGCTGCCCTTGG